GCACCAGCAGCAGCAGCAGCAGCAGCAGCAGCGCGGCCCGCGCCGCCCGCGACCTCAACCCCCGGGCCGGCATCGCTGCCTCGGCGCTTCCACGGCCGCCTCTTAACGCGCAGGTGCGGGACTCGCGGCTCCGCCCACTCTGCCTAACGATTGGCTAGAAGGGAAAAGGAGGCGGGCCAACGAGTAGCTAGAAAGGAAAAGGAGGCGGGCCAATACAGAGCCGCTTCCTTTCTGGGTCGGCCGTCCCCGGAGCGCCCTCTGGCGCTCAAAGTAGGAAAGACTCTCAACGGGGCGTTGACCGCGTTCCGCGGATGGGCGAATGAAAACTTTAGAAGGGACATCACTGTCGGGGATACATCGTGGAGGCCCAGGGCGTGCGAGAACTCACATTCAAGTAGTCCTTTGGGAGTAGAGGTAGGCTGAAGTTGGATCACAGGTTTTATTTCGTGGGCAATTGGGAGCCATAGAGCGCTCTAGAGCTACAGAAGAGCAAGCCTGGAGGCTGGGATACCAGACTGTAGGACACTGAAACAGCCCTCACAGAAATAACGAGGTAAAAGGATGATGAGAGGAAGCATTATGAGAGGACAGGAGGGAGTAAAGTGGTACTGAACGAGACCATTTTGTCTATCTAATATTGCGATTTTTTTTGGAGGGGAGGAGTTCTCAGGCATTTCAAGGAGTATTAGGTCAGTGATCCGGTGCTGTGAATAAAGCAAGAATTTGCAAAGGCAAATCTTTTTTTTTTTTTTTTTGAGTCGGAGGTGCAGTGGCACACTCCTGGCCACCGCAGCCTCGCCCTGCTGGGCTCCGGCGATCCTTCCACCTCTGTCTTCCAAGTAGCCGGAACTACAGGCGCGCGCTACCACGCCTGGCTAATTTTTGATTTATTGTAGAGACGAGGTCTCTCCAAGTTACCGGGTCTCGAACCCACGGGCTCCCAAAGCGCTGGGATTACAGGCTGAGCTACCAAGCCCGATGCAAAGGCAGACCTTTTATTCACTTCCCAGAGAGAGAGAGACCAGGAAGGGACCAGCGCCATAGGAGTGTGGTGGGGGATTTGGGTGCAAGGTATATTTAAGGCATGAGGAGATAGGGGATGGGTAAAAGTTTCCTTGCAGTTGCAGTCTTAGGTGTTGATAACATGGATCTTGTGCGTTGAAGTCTCAGGGCAACACACACCTTGTGACTCCAGGTGGTGGTCTGGTGGGCAGTCAAGGAAGGCTAATCATGATGGATTGAGTCAGCTTAGTTTCTCATGACTGGAAGACAAATGCTCGGAGTAAGGAGGAGTCATCAGTACAAAGAAATAACTGAGGGGTTATAAACAACGATCAGTTTCTACCTCTGGAAAACTGGTTCTGTGAGTTAAAGATTAGGGAATAGTTAAAAACAAGCTGCTGCAACCAGGCAAGGTGGCACAAGCCTGTCATCCCAGCACTTTAGGAGGCGGAGGAGAGAGGATTGCCTGAGCCAACAGGTACGAGACCAGCCTGGGCAACTTGGCGAGACCTCATCTCTACAATAAATTTAAAACAATAACCAGGTGTGATGGCGCACGCCTGTAGTTCAGCTACTTGGAAGGCCGAGGCAGGAGGATCATCTTCAACTCAAAAAACAACAAAAACAAACTGCGACAAGCAAAATCCAAATGGCTGCTCCCTAGCCTCTTAACTAAACCTACTCCATCTTGACTCTGCCCTTTCCTTTCAAAGAGCTTAGCATCTAACTGGAAAAACAAGACCTATGCACAGGTCACCACAGAGGGACAATTTTAGAATATGAGGGCCAGAAAACTGACAACCAAGAGGCCCCCGGCCCAAGAGTGTGTATCTGTGTGAACTTTTCCTGGCAGGAAGGTCACCCAATTCCCCTATAAGCTGTTCATGCTTATACAGGAGATGAGGCCATCATCAGCAGGGAAATCTGCAAGTCAGAAGTCTCATGATCCCACGAGGCACAATCAGTCCCTGCATACCGGTGAGAGAAAGACAGCAGGTCAGAGATCCTTGGCTCTATCCTCCTCCCTAGCCTTCCTGTTTTACAGAGAAGGAAACTGAGACCCACAGAGAGGCAGGAGTTGCCCAAGATCACGCAGCAAGTTTGGGTCAGAGATGGGACTAGAATCCAGGCCTCCAGGAGTGAAATCTATGCTTTTGTCCTCACTGCTTCTTTCTTACACCCCAGGAGGAGTCAGAGCCTGTGTTGGCTGAAGCAAGCATGACTTCCTCCTTCTGGTGGTGATAAGGAACAACAATGGCTACTGCTGAATTAACAGCGGTTTTTCTTTTTTCGTTTTTTTTTGAGTTGGAGTCTCACTCTGTTGCTCAGACTGGAGTGCAGTGGCACGCTCCTGGCCACCGCGGCCTCGACCAGCTGGGCTCAGGTGATCCTTCCACCTCAACCTTCCAAGTAGCTGGAACCACAGGCACGTGCCACCATACCTGGCTAATTTTTTTGATTTATTGTAGAGATGAGGTCTCGCCAAGTTGCCCAGGCGGGTCTCGAACCCGCGGGCTCAGGCAATCCACTCACCGCGTCAAACTCAAGACGCAGGATTACAGGCTGAGTCACCGAGCCCGGGTAGTGATTTTCTTTATCTTCTGTTTCTTCCTCTGCCAGATTATATTAAAATATTGTCCAAGAGCCGGACTTGGTGGCTCAGCCTGTAATTCCACGCCTTTGGGAGGCTGAGGTGAGTGGATTGCCTGAGCCTGCGGGTTCGAGATCCACCTGGGCAACGAGACCTCATCTCTACAATAAATCAAAAAATCAGCTGGGTGTGGTAGCGCATGCCTGTAATTCCGGCTACTTGGAAGGCTGAGGCGGAAGGATCGCAGGAGCCCAGCAGGTCGAGGCTGCAGTGGCCGTGAGCATGCCACTGCACTTCAGCCTGGGCAACAGCGTGAGACCCCAACTAAAAAAAAAAAAATTTATGTCACTTTTTTGCCTTATAAAGAGATAGGCATCTGGGTTAAAATAAAATTTGATTTTTGAAAATATACTTCAGAGCTTTTCAGAAATTGTTCAGTTCTGCAGATATTGATAAGCTTCCTTCAGATTCTTTCTGAGTCCTCACTGAGCATTGGGGATGCTGAAGCAAATCCAGAGCTCATTTTGTGGGGGACAATAAACTTGTTATTGCTACTTAGCACAGCCCAGAGGGTGGACTTTTTCCCTGGGTTCAGTGTTGAGTTGAATAGTGTCTTCCAACACTTCTTGACCATTTAGAACTTGTGAATATGAACTTATTTGAAAATAAGGTCTTAGTCGGGCACGGTGGCTCACACCTGTAATCCCAGCACTCTGGGAGGTGGAGGCTAGAGAATTGCCTGAGCCTATGGGTTTGAGAAAAGCCTGGACAACTTGGCGAGACCTTGTCTCTACAATAAATAAAAAAAATTAGCTGGAAGCAGTGGCTCAAGCCTGTAATCCCAACACTTTGGGAGGCTGAGGTGAAAGGATTACCTGAGCTCAGGGGTTTAAGACCAGCCTGAGCCAGGCTGGGTGGCTCAGCCTGTAACCCTGTGCTTTGGAAGGCTGAGGTGAGTGGATTGCCTGAGCCCGTGGGTTCGAGACCCTCCCGGGCAACTTGGCGAGACCTCATCTCTACAAAAAATAAAAAATTAGCCGGGCATGGTAGCACACACCTGTAGTTCCAGCTACTTGGAAGGCTGAGCGGAAGGATCGCCAGAGCTCAGTAGGTCGAGGCTGTGGTGGCCGGGAGCGTGCCATCGCACTCCAGTCTGGGCATAGTGAGACTCCAACTCAAAAAAAGACCAGCCTGAGCAACATGGTGAGACCTTGTCTCTATAATAAATAAAAAATTACCTGGGTGTGGTCACATGCCTGTAGTTCCATCTTGGAAGATTGAGGCAGAAGGATCACTTGAGCCCAGTTGGGTCAAGGCTGTGGTGGCCGTGAGTGTGCCACTGCACTCTAGCCTCTGTGACCAAGTGAGACTCTGACTCAAAAAAAAAAAAATCAAAAAATTAACCAGGCGTGGTGGTACATGCCTGTAGTCCCAGCTCCTTGGAAGGCTCAGGTGGAAGGATTGCCTGAATCCAGCAGGTCAAGGATGTGGTGGCTGTGAGCATGCCACTGCACTCCAGCCTGCGTGACAGAGTGAGGCTCCAACTCAAAAAAAAAAAAAGAAAAACTGGGCATGGTGGCGCACACCTGTAATCTCAGCATTTGGGAGGCAGAGGTGAAAGGATTGCCTGAGCTCAGGGGTTTGAGACCAGCCTGAGCAACTTGGCGAGCCCTCATCTCTACAATAAATAATAATAATTAAAAAATCAGGCCGGGCATGGTGGCTCAACCTGTAATCCCAGCACTTTGGGAGGCCAAGGTGAAAGAATTGCCTGAGCCTGGGGGTTCGAGACCAGCCTGGGCAACTTGGTGAGACCTTGTCTCTACAATAAATCACAAAAACTAGCCGGGCATGGTGGCATGCATCTGTAGTTCCAGCTACTTGGAAGGCTGAGGTGGAAGGATCGCATGAGCCCAGCAGGTCGAGGCTTCAGTGGCTGTGAGCGCACCACTGCACTCTAGTCTCTGGGTGACAAGAGTGAGACTCCAACTCAAAAAAAAAAAAAAAAAAAAAGAAAATCAGCCTGGAGTGGTGGCACATGCCTGTGGTTCCAGCTACTTGGAAGGATCACCTGACCAGCAGTTTGAGGTTGCAGTGGCCATGAGCATGCCACTGCACTCCAGCCTGGGCGACAGAGTGAGACTCTGACACCAAAAAAAAAAGGAAAAGAAAATAGGGTCTTTGTGGATGTAATTAGATAAATTTAGATGAAGTCATACTAGATTAGGGTGGGCCCAAAGGTAACGACTGGTGTCCTTAAAAACACTGAGAGATATAGAGGGCAGAAGGCCATGTGAAAACAGAGGCAGAGATGGAAGTTATGTTGCCATAAGCCAAGGCATCTCAGGAACCACCAGAAGATGGAAGAGTCAAGGAAAACAATCTTCCTCTTGAACTTTTGGAGGGAGCAATGCCCTACTGACACTTTGATTTTAGACCTCTAGCCTCCAGAATTCTGAGGGAATACATTTCTGTTGTTTTAAGTCACATGCAATGAGGACATTCATTACAGGGAATAAATACAAAAGCATAAAATGAAGTATATTCAGAATTAATGAGTTAAAGTTGCAGCAATCTAATATTATCCCTAATGAGCAACAATCAAGAAGAATTTGAAGCAATTAGGCCAAGAGGTTAGCCATTAAGAGGGCAAGCTTTGGAGTCAAACAGAACTAGGTTGGAAATCCCAGCTCTGGTACTTATGAGTGGAGTGACCTCAGGCAAATGACTTTGCGTCTTTAAGGTTTTCTTGTCTGTAAAATGAGGATAACCAAAACCCTCTTATAAGTGAAATAAGGCATTTAAAAGCACTTGGCCCGATACCTGCCACATAGTAAAGGCTCAATAAAAACCAGCTGGCATGTATGACCAGAAAACACAGTAAATCTACCTCACCTAAAAAGTTGCCTCATTAATTCTTACCGCATTACCCTGCCTATTTCCTTTACTCCGTCACTGTCCCACCTGTAACCATCTTCTTGATTTACTTATTAACTCTCTTTCTACCAGATTGTAGATTGTGAGCCCCAAAAGACAGGGAGAGTCTCATTTATGGCTGATTATTCAGGGCCTAGCACAGAACCTGGCACATATTTTTGAGATGAATGGATAAGTCAATGGAGAGTGGATATGTCGTCTTGAAAGTAGTAAATGAAGACATATTTAATCAATATCCCTCTTTTTATTCCTCCTGCCACCAGCAATTTCTCTTTAAGACCCTCTGGGAGGAACCCGGCCTCCCTGATATGTAAAATATGAGTTCCCTAGGACCCTCTAAAGCATGGCAGTATTCTTGCTGGGTTAACATGCAGTGTCAGCCCTGTGCCTAGCATATAGTAAGAGAATTTCCCCTCATCCCCTGGCTCTGCTTATTGTATGTTATAGGGGTATGGCGGAGACAAGGAACAGTTTGGAGATTTATACAATCTTCGTGAATATCTTCCTTTTTCTCAGAGTTGGACACGGCCTGCTTCCAGCAGCGCTACCAGGCAGGACTTCACAGGGTCAATACAATTCTCTGACGATTCTACATCTCAAGTGATCCCAGCCTCTTCTGTGTTTCCCAAGGACCTAAGAGGTCATGGTGGCTGTGAATGGGGACGATCAGGTCAGAAAGGGTCCTCACCTGAATAAGAAGATGCCTTGTACTGAAACCTTGTTATTCATCTCTGAAAGAGGCAGGTCAGCACTCTCATCATAAAACAGTTCTTGGTCCTCAGAGGCAAGGGTGACATGACAGTGGAGCCTTTCATTGCTCCAGAAACAAGGAGGCCCCGACAATTAAGCAGTGTCAAGGGCTGGCTGGCCATACCATCTGACAATCTGAGTTCCCAAGAGAACAGTCTGCTCTTCTTCCTAGATTTCTTCCAAGTCGGCCGGGGTCGGTGGCTCAGCCTGTAATCCCAGCACTTTGGGAGGCCAAGGTGAGTGGATTGCCTGAGCCCGTGGGTTCGAGACCCGCCTGGGTAACTTGGCGAGACCTCATCTCTACAATAAATCAAAAAAATCAGCCGGGCGTGGTAGCGCATGCCTGTAATTCTGGCTACTAGGAAGGCTGAGGTGGAAGGATCGCCGGAGCCCAGCAGGTCAAGGCTGTGGTGGCCGGGAGCGGCCACTGCACTCCAGTCTGGGTGACAGAGTGAGACTCCAACTCAAAAAAAAAAAGATTTCTTCCAAGTCCATCATTACTGGGCCTGAAGGATCCCTCTGGCACCTGTGGTCTCTGAGGACGCAGGCACTAAGCCTTCTTGTTGGAAAGTTTTCTTGACCTGGCATGCACTGAGGCTGTCCCAGGCCCTCCGTCTCCTGCCCACCTGACTACCCCTCCCGCCCTTCGCTATCCCACAGACCATGTGCAGGGGGGCATGGCCAGGCTGCCCTCCAGGAGTCAGTCCCAACACACATTGGCAAAGAGGAGTTAGTGTCCAGGTCCTGGGACTGGTTCAAGTAAGATGAGAGGGCCAAGACTGTTCTTGCTCCTCCAGGGAGTGAAATGATTTTTGCTGAGTTGTTTAAAACTGGGGTAGTGGCCTCATCAGCAGTCAGAGTAGTGCAACTCTCTGGAATCTGGCCATGGGGTGATTTTCACATCAGCTTCTGTCTCGGTGACCGAGGACCTCGGGGCTTCTTCTTTGCCCTCAATCCCAAGGCCTCTCAGGCACCGCTTCCAGCGGGCCAGGCAGTGATGGGCAGAGGAGCGGATCTCCCCACTCCGCAGGGCATAGATGACAGGGTTGACCAGGGAGTTGACAAGGCACAGCATGGAGCAGAAGGCGAAGGCCTTCTTGACCTGGTCGCTGAGTGTGGCAGCCAGGCTGTAGACCATGAGGGCCAGTACTGGGAACCAGCACATGAGAAGCACAGCCAGCACCAGCCCCAGGGTCTTGGCCAACTTCACATCCAGCCTCATCCGGGCCATTCCTGGCACCTGCTTGTCCTGGTGCTCAGCCAAGCTGGCTACGTGCTGATGGGCCTTCCAGAGGACGTGCCCATAGGTGCAGATGATACCGGAGAAGAGAAAGGCGATGAACAGGAGCCAGCCCAGTAGGTACTCACTGGGGATCAATGGAAAGAGCTCAGAGCAGGGACTGGGACAGCAAGTCCATCCCATGAGGGGCAGATAGGAGACAAATGCCGAGAGGACCCACATGATGCCCAGGGCCACCAGTGCCCTCCCATGGGTGAGGAGAGCCTTGTATGCAGGTGGGTAGCGCAGACAGAGGTAGCGGTCAATGGCAGTCAGCAGCAGGCTGCCCACGGAGGCTGTGAAGGTCATGGTCACACTGCCAATCTTCAGCAGGAAGACAGCCTTGGAATCCACGCCATGGAAGACGTGGAAATTCACAAAACTGCACGCAAAGACCACGCTGGCCAGGAAGTCCGCTCCAGCCAGGCTGCCAATGAACAGGTATGAGGGCTTCCTGCAGAGTCGGCGGGAGGACAGGATCAGGTAGAGCACAGCCAGGTTCTCCAGGGCACTTAGCAGGCCCAAAAGGGTGCACAGCACTGCAACAGCTATCTTTTGGGGACCGCTCAGGACCATGTAATCCTTCATAGGGTTGGAATCCAAGCCATCCCACGAGCCATTGGCTGCCTCCGTCACCCAGCACCTCTCCATGGGGTGGGCCCTGTGGCTTCCCTGGGCGTGCCAAAAGGGCTTCGCTGCAGTGCAATGAGAAGAAGACAAGACTCCTTTCAGTCAGCACAATAGTGAGGTCCCCGGTGCCTTACTCTAGCCGCGATACCTGCATGGATGGATATGTTGGAAAATCAGTTTATATTTTGTTCCCCTGCATCTTGTCCTTTCTCCATGCACGTGGGGAGCCAGATCTTCTCTGGCTGCTTCAGGGAAGGTATGTGGGAATGCAACACACAGGAGTGACCCTTAAGCTTTTGGCTTTTTATTTTCTAAAAGACTCATCCTATGACTTCCCTTTGAAAGTAGAGGGAATCCCCAAGGGTCAAAAACTAAGAGGAAATCAAAACCAAGATGAAATGGAATCTGGAGTGATAAGGGCAGGTTTTTTGTTGTTATTGTTGCTTTTGAGCTGGTCTCTCACTCTGTCGCCCAGACTGGAGGGCAGTGGCACACTCATGGCCACTGCAGCCTCGACCTGCTGGGCTCAGGCAATCCTTCCACCTCAGCCTTCTAAGTAGCTGGAACTACAGGCATGTGCCACCATGCCCAGCTAATTTTTTAAAAATTTACTGTAGAGATGAGGTCTTGCCAATTTGTCCAAGCTGGTCTTGAACCCATGAACTCAGGCAATCCTCTCCTCCACCTCCCAAAGTGCTGGGATTACAGGCGTGAACCACCATGCCCAGCTAAGGTTTTCTTGTTGTTGTTTTTCTTCTGTTTTATTTGTTTGCCAGTTTTGGCAAGTAAAATGCTAAAATTTCAACAACTATTTGGGGATGGGAGATGAGACTTTGGCATCACCCCAAGAGGTATAAAGATAAACTTTAGAAGAGAAATAATTTTTCACTAGATAAAATATAGGAATCTAGTTAAATTTAAATGTCAGATAATGAATTTTTTTTTAGTATGTCCCAAATATTGAAGAAAAAAAGAAACCTAAATATTGTGTGGTTCATTATTAGACTAGAAAGCAAATTAACCAGGTGGGTTAGCTCACACCTATGAGTTCGAGGCCAGCTTGGGCAACATAGTGAGATCCTGTTTCTACAAAATAAAAATTAACTCAGCCTGTAATCCTGCGCCTTTGGGAGGCTGAGGTGAGTGGATTGCCTGAGCCATGGGTTCGAGACCCGCGTAGGTAGCAAGACCTCATCTCTACAATAAATCAAAAAATCAGCCGGGCATGGTAGCGCATGTCTGTAATTCCAGCTACTTGAAAGGCTGAGGCGGAAGGATTGCCGGAGCCCAGCAGGTCGAGGCTGCGGTGGCCGGGAGCAGCCACTGCACTCCAGTCTGGGCGACAGAGTGAGATTCCAACTCAAAAAAGGGAAAAAAAGTTAGTTAGGTGCAGTGGTGCACACCTGTAGTCTCAGTTATTTAGGAGACTGAGGTGGGAGGAACACTTGAGCCCAGGAGTTTGGGGCTGCAATGAACTATGACTTCACCACTGCACTACAGTCTGGGTGACAGAGTGAGACCCTATCTCTAAAAAATTAAAAACACAAAAGAATGAGGTGAAAAATATTCAAAGATAACTGTTAGTTGGGTGCGGGGGGGGCGGGGGGAGCTCACACTATAATCCCAGCACTTTGGGAGGTGGAGGCGAAAGGATTACCTGAGCTCAGGGGTTTGAGATAAGCCTGAGCAACATGGCAAGACCTCGTCTCTACAATTAAAGAAAAAAAAAATCAGCTGGGCATGGTGGCACATGCCTGTGGTTACTTGGAAGGCTGAGGCAGAAGGATCACCTGAATCCAGCAGGTCAAGGCTGTGGCGGCTGTGAGCATGCCACTATACTTCTGCCTGGGCGACAGAGTGAGACTACAACTCAAAAAAAAAGAAAGAAAAGAAAATTGTTCAATAACACATCTTTACTGAAGAACCATCTAAAGGATGTGCTTTTCAGAAGGAAATTCAGGGCAGGTGCAGTGGCTCACACCTGTTATTCCAGCACTTTGGGAGGCCAGGGCGAGAGGATTACTTGAGACCAGCCTGGGCAACATAGCAGTCTCCAAAAAAGAAACATTAAACAAAAAATTTTTTTTCCAAACTCTCACTCTGTTGACCAGGCTGGAGTGCAGTGGCACACTCACGGCCACTGCAACCTCGATCTGCTGGGTTCAGGTGATCCTTCTGCCCCAGCCTTCCAAATAGCTGGAACTGTAGGTGCACACCACCACATCCGGCTAATTTTTTGATTTATTGTAGAGACAAGGTCTTACCATGTTGCCCAGGCTGGTCTCAAAACCCTGGGCTTGGGCAACTCTCTCACCTCTGCCTCCCACCGTACCTGGCTTTAAAAAAAATTTTTTTAAAAATTATTATTATTTTTTTTTGAGTTGGAGTCTCACTCTGTTGCCCAGACTGGAGTGCAGTGGCCGCTTCCGGCTACCACAGCCTTGACATGCTGGGCTGCGGCGATCCTTCTGCCTCAGCCTTCCAAGTAGCTGGAACTACAGGCACGTGCTACCACACCCGGCTAGTTTTTTGATTTTATTGTAGATATAACGTCTCGCCAAGTTGCCCAGGCGGGTCTCGAACCCGCGGGCTCAGGCAATCCACTAATCTCAGCCTCCCAAAGCGCGGGATTACAGGCTAAGCCACCAAGCCCGGCTTTTTTTTAAAATTAATTTTAAATCAGCAGGGCATGGTAGCGCATGCCTGTAATTTCGGCTACTTGGAAGGCTGAGGCGGAAGGATCGCCGGAGTGCAACAGGTCGAGGCTGCGGTGGCCGGGAGCGGCCATTGCACTCCAGTCTGGGCGACAGAGTGAGACTCCAACTCAAAAAAATAAAAATAAATAAATAAAAAATAAAATTTTTTAATTATCTCAAAATTTAAAATAAAAACAAAGTTTAAATAAAATTGTGAGTGGTAGTAATACAAGACAAAAATGAGATTAATATAGTTAAAGCTTTATTTGGGAAGTAAGTAACGACATTGATTAACTTTTGGCTTAAAACAAACAAAAAACCACAAAACGGGCATCATCTCTTACTCTCTTTATTGCAATGCTTTCTAACTGGGGTCTCTGCTTTTAACCATGCTCATTTCTTTTCTAATTTCAACACAACAGCCAAAGTGATCCTTTTAAAATATGTTAGATCATGTTGTTCCTCTGTCCCAAACACTACCTAGCTCCCCATTCCATTAACTATAAAAGCCAAAGTCCTTTCTCTCTCTCTCTTTCTTTTCTTTCTCTCTCTCTCTCTCTCTCTTTCTTCTCTCTCTCTCTCTCTCTCTATCTCCTTCTCCCTCCCTCCCTTCTTTCCTTTTTCTTTTCTTTCTTTTTTTTTTTTAAGGCAGAGTCTCACTCTATTGCCCAGGTTGCAGTGCAGTGACATTATCTTATCTCACTGTAGCCTTTCAAGTGATCCTCTTGCCTCAGTTTCCTGGGCAGCTAGGACCACAGGTGTGTGCTACCACACCCAGTTATTTTTTAAATTTTTTTGTACAGAAGAGGTCTCACTATGTTGCATCTGAGTGGCACAGAAAGGGAAACTGATAGCCCTAAATGCTCATATTACAAAAGAAGAGACTCATGAGCTAGACATCCAACTCATGAAATGAGAAGGGCCCCAGCATAAATATAAAAAGGCAGAAGAGAGAAACAATAAGAGCTAAAATATAAGCTGGGCTCGGTGGCTCAGCCTGTAATCCCGCGCCTTTGGGAGGCTGAGGTGAGAGGATTGCCTGAGCCCACGGGTTCAAGACCCACCT